CCACCTTACTTCTGGCTTCTGGTAACCCCAGATACCTTCAGCCTCCCTTAGCTAGTGACCTCATAACTCTTTTCTGCTTCCATAGTCACACATTCTTGCCCTGTGTCACTGTATCCAGTGTTTTATTTTGTTTTAAAACAGTCTCACATAGCACAGGCTAGGTCCATTCACTTTGTAGTCAAAGATAACCCTGAGCTCCTGATGATCCCTTCCCTCCACCTCCCTAGTGCTGGGTGACAGGCTTGCAGCACCCGGGCCCATGGCTCTCCCTTAACAAGGGCCTTGGCCACCAGCCCTTCTCCTGTGGACCTCAGCTCCACTAATGACAACTGCATTTCCAAATAAGGTCATGTCCTGAGCGTTCAGAAGGCATGTAGTTTAAGGGGAGATCCAGTCAACCCTGAATGCTCCCTTCCTTCCTCAGCCACCAGTCACAGAAGTGTAGAGGAGCAAATGGCAGTCCCTCGGCTTCCAGCCTCCCTGGAGGCCTGAGAGGAGCTGCTGGCCTCTGGCTGACAACACAGCATGGCCCGTACCTTGTCTCTGAACTCGTGGGACACATAGTAGTAGATGAAAGGGTCCACACAGCTGTTGAGGGTGCTGAGTGCCAGGCTGGGCATGTAGGCTCCGTAGAGATCGCCCCAGGCCTCCGGGCTTGGGTCCGAATAGTGGAGCAGCAGCAGCACGTTGCTAGGTGTGAAAGAGGCCACTGCCGAGGCCAGTACCAGGGCTGTCAGTCTGAGCGCATGGCCATAGCGCTGGCCATTGGCTGCCAGCGCACGAAGGGTAGCCCCATAGCACAGGCCCATGGCCAGAAGCGGCAGGAAGCAGCCCAGGACAGCCAGGCAGGTGAAGGCCGGTCGCCAGTGGGAGGCCTGCTCGGCCAGGGGCAGCACATCATGACACAGCATGCGATCAGAGCCAGCCAGCCGGAAGGTTTGCCGCTGCAGAGTGAGAGGCAAGGCCAGGGTGGCTGCAGACAGCCAGGACACCAAGCAGAGCCCAGCAGTGAGGCGCTGCCCACGTAGTGCACGGGCCCGCAGAGGGTGCACCAGGGCCAGGTACCGGTCCAGGCTGACTGCAGCCAGCAGCAACACTGAGCCATACATGTGGCCATAGAGGGCAGCTGTGGCCACCCGGCAGGCGGCCTCCCCGAATGGCCAGCGCTGGCCACGCAGGTGGTAGGCTAGTCGAGGTGGTAGCACTAGGGCCAGCAGCAGGTCTGCAACTGCCAGGTTCATGAGCAGAACAGTGGATGGCAGGCGAGGAACCCTTGTGGCCAGCACCCACAGTGCCAGCCCATTGGCAGGCAGCCCCACGACCACCACCAGCCCATAGAGGGCAGGCACCAGCCTTGTGGGGATCCACCCCAGCAGCAGTGCTTGTGAGCTGGCTGGGAGCTCCAGGGTGTCACTATCGTTGGCACAGGACTTGCCCGGGAAGCCTCTCGGATGAAGCTGGTCTGGGGATGGCGACTCTTTGAGTTCTGCTGTGGGACCCAGCTTGCCTTCTGGGGAAGAGAGGAGATGTCAGTCAACCCAGACCCTGCACTGCCTTGGGGAACACAAGGTGCAAAGAAAATGTGTTTCAGGCACTGTGGGTGCCTCAGTGTCCCCACTCCAGCACTCAGGAAACCTTGGCTGGTGAATGAAGGACACAGCCCAGCCCAAGGGCTCAGGGATTAGGGACCTGAGGGGGTAGGCCTACCCAGCTGTAGCTCTATTTCTGACCCACCCCTCCAGGGGACAGAGTCACTCACCATGGCCTTCTTCAGTACTCTCTCCATCATCATAGACGCTGGGAGTCTGGGTGCCCTCTGCCAGGCTGAGCCCCAGCACCAGTGGACACAGCAGCAGCCAGCACATGCTGCCGGGGGTCACGCTGTTTCTAGGCTGCATCCTCGAGCTTCCTGCCCTGTCAACCCCACCCCCAGCTTCCGGAGCCCCAGAAGAGAGCAACTGTACCTTGGGAAGATAACCCTATAGCAGAGCTCCCAGCCCCACAGACCCACTGGGGTCTGCTTGCTCACCCTGAAGCCCATGGAAGGTCCTTGTGTGCACTCAGGAGGCCTAGGTATCCTTCCCAAGTCTCTCTGCCTCTTCAAGATGCCTCACAAGGAACTGGGTCAAGGATGGAGAAAAGAGTTCTGGACTTCAGCCCTACCCCCATCTCCTATCACATCTTCACAACATCCTCCACCCCACCCAGTGCAGGAAACATCTGTGGACCAAGTGCTCACTTCCTGCCGGCTAGTCACACCGCTCTTGTTGGGATGACAGTCTAGTCCTCCTCCAAGTCACAACCTTGTGGGGCTCTTAGCCCTTCTAGAAGCCACCCACTATTTCCTATCTGTGGCTGGCAGGACAATAGCCCATCCCAGGGCACCCTGGCTCTGTCGGAGCAGGCCAACAAAGGACAGCAAGATCGCAGTAGGTGAAGGTGCTTGCCACCAAGCCTGATGGCCTGAGTTCAATATGCAAGACCCACGTAGTAGAGGAAGAGAACGTGCTCCCCTCACTTGTCCTCTAGCCTCCATGTGTACACCTTAGCATCTGTGCACAAGCGTGGGAGCGCACACAAACAAGCGTGGGTATGCGCCTTTAATCCCAGCACTCCAGGAAGCAGAGGCAGGTGCATCTCTGTGAGTTCAAGGAAAGCATGGTCTACATAGTAAATTCCAGTACAGCCAGGGCCACATAGAGAGACCCTGTCTCAAATAAATAAATACATAAACAAATAATTGTATGTAACAGAAAATTAAAGGCCATATCAACAACTGTTGCTTCCCAGAGTACCTCAAATCCTCTTGTGGGGTGTACTGTCTGGTTTTGTGTCAACTTGACACAAGCTGGAGTCGTCAAGAGAAAGAAGCTTCAGCTGAGGAAATGATTGATGAGGGAGGGCCCAGCCCATTGTGGATGGTTCCATTCCTGGGCTGGTGGTTCTAGGTTCTATATGAAAGTGGCTGAGCAAGCCAGTAAGCAGCACTCCTCCATGGCCTCTGCATCGACTCGTGCCTCCAGGTTTCTGCCCTGCTTGAGTTCCTGTCCTGACTTCTTCAGTGATGAACCAGCGATGTGGAAGTGTAAGCCAACTCTCAAGTTGCTTTTTGGTCATGATGTTCTGTCACGGCAAAACCCTAAGATGGGGCACCCTGTCCTATGGATGCCTCCTTTATCCCAGCTTCTTTCCTGGCTTACAGTAAAGAGAGGTACCAATTGAGGATAGCGGAGGCCTGTGCTCTTACGTAGACCTGACACTGAATACCTGCTCTAAGAGTCTATGAACCCTTGGAGGCACTTGTCACTGGTCCTCAAAGCTACAGGCATGACTTGTGAGGAAGGTGGCCATGATGCTGCAGACAGCCCCTGACATGCCTTGGTACAACTTTAGAGTTGCCACAGACACTGCTCAGTGGGGACCCAGTTTTCGGATGAGGTGGTAGCCGTGCCCGTCACCCCAGCACTTGAGAGGCTGAGGCAGGAAGAATGCAATTTCTAGGGCAGCCTGAGCTATGTAATGAGAAACAAGTTAGACCTCTGGCCTCCACATGCACACACACAAAGCTTTCTGAAAAGAGGTAGGGAGAAGAGAAAGAGAGGAAAAAAGAAACTAAGGTTCAGAGAGGCAGCTACACAGCAGTCTGAGGGGATGGAGGTCAGTGCCATACTACGTGCTCAACACCCTAGATTCGTCTAGCAACGTTTAAAAAAAAAAAAAAAAGTCTGCCTGCAAGGAGTGGAGGGCTAGCCTCGGAGTGCTGAATCAGCATGGAGTGGCCAAAGTCTGGGAACACAAAACCAATTTGGGATGGATGGGGTAGAGGCCAACATGGCCATTTCCTGCCTCACAAGCCCTAATCTAGCAGGATGTGAGTGAGCAGTCTCGGGGTTAGTTCCTGCACTGAGGGGAAACCAAGGTCTGGAATGCCCACCAGAGGTGTGTTAGAGATCCTGAGTTCTCAGGAACAATGAGGGCTAGGAGGCTTGGTAATTATGTGCTGATAATTTGAACCATTTCCACTCAAGGGTTCCGTGTCTGGAGTTGGGGCCAGAGCCACACATACAGGATGTTTGTGGCTGGGGAGAAGCAAATAAGGAAGAGTGCCCATCAACAATCCTGCTACAGGAATAGCATTGTGACATGCAAGGGAAGGGCCTGGAAGGACCACCATGCAAAGTGGGGACAAAATGTTCCCAGATTCCAGTCCTAAATAAGGAAGAGCACTCAGGCACATCCACCACAAGAACCTTGAGGTCTTCCGGAGTGAAGTCAGTCTGTCACAGACAGGCAGAATGGGATTTCACATATGTGAAATCCTGGAGGTACCTGGATGCCAGCTGACATAAGCTTGGAGAACTCTGAAGGTTGGACTATCTACCTATCCATCCATCTTAGAATTTAATCTGGGTCATCTGTAAGAGCAGACAGTACCACTGAGCCATCTCCCTAGCTCAATATGAGTATCTTCTGTTGGTTTTCTTTTCTTTGTTTCTTTCTAGACAGGGTTTTTTTTTTTTTTTTTGTAGCCCTGGCTGTCCTGGAACCCTCTATGGCCTTGAACTCAGAGAACTGTCTTCCTCTGCCTCCTGAGTGTTGGGTTTAAAGGCATGCACCACCACCCAGGCCCAGCATAATTTTTTAAAAGAAATGTTGCAACTTAAAGTAGTTTTATGAGGGAGCCACCGTGCACGTAACTTGGTTTTCTCCATCACATGTGGCCTGGGGACCAGACTCAGGTTGTCAGTGCTTTTAATCGCTGTACCATCCACAGTCCCAAACTGGTTTGCACCAGCACAAGCCAAGTATGGAAAGGAAATGCCTCTACTGGATGTACAGACAACTGGGAAAGAATATTTTAGAAGGCACTCCCAGGTTGGGGGAGCTGCTGTCACTTTGGGGAGTTTCTCCCAGAGTGGGCAGCTGAAGCCTCCTGAGCCTCAGCTGTGGGCAAGACCTAACCAGGACTCTTGTAGTAAATGACCGGCAGACCCTGAGGCTTGGCGCCAATATTTAACTTTAATGTGCAAATAAATAGAAAAAGAAAACTACATTCAAAACAGCTGCGAAGGGAGGTCAAAGCTGGAACAGAAATTCCTCAAAAATGTTAAGGAGCGGCTCCCCAAACGCATGCGAGGGTGCCTGGGCTCCCCGCTGGGGAAGGGAGGTCCAGAGGGTCCTGGGCAGCTTCAAGTCCCCATATGCAACGGCCTTCTCAGGAAACTAGGATGTGACCAAGGTGCCCTAGAGAAGCATGCAGCTGGGCAGGCTCAAGAAACTGAGAACAGGTGCTCTCTCTAGAACCTTGGGTTTGGCACGGTGACATAGACCTACAGAGGATTGCTGTGGGGATGGTGGGTGGTTCACAGGCCCACGGGGATGTTTTGCCCATGGGAAGCTAAGGGAGCTGCAGCTGTGAAAGTCACGACTACTACAGAGAGCAGGAAGGAATAAATATGTGTGCAGACGCATCTCGAACTTGAGCTCTGCGGGAAGAGGGGACCCCCTTGAAGGGACAGTCCCTGCTGTCACCTGGGGTCTGGTCTGCACTGCCAAGAGCTACAGCTCCTGCTTGAGGTCAAGGTGAGACCCCTGGCTCAGAGTGACACAAACCCTCTTGGGGGCAGGATGTGTGGTGTGTGGGGGTTCACGTGCTGGGGTCTCCAGATGCTCAGGGCGAGGCAGGGCGGCGGCTGTACTGCACACGGTAGCGCGTCACCGGCAGCCCGTGCACATGTGCAGTTTCACAGAGCGTCTTGCAGGGTACCATGTCCTCCTCCTCCTCCCCCATCAGCCAGTCCTGTACCAGCCCCGCAGCTGCCACGGTCACATTGTCCTCCAGCCAGCGGCCATGCCACTCCTCAAAGTGCCGGTGGTGGCGCAGCAGCACCAGGGGCTGCACCTGTGGGGGTGGTGTAAGTGAACTTCTGGGGCTAGGGTATGGGGCTCACATGCTCTGGGTTTTGGGGTGCGGGGCTACAGTGGGTGGGTGTGGCTGCAGCACCTGCTTGGCACGGCAGAGTGTCCCACGGCGGTACATGTAGTCCTCGGAGTTGACGATGAACACCATCTTGTGCGTGCCCAGGCGGAAGCGGCAGTCTACATCACACGCACTCTCCACACCCATGAGCCGCTTCCACGAACTCTTGGCCTCACCACGCATGGCACGCACCTGCTCGCACTGCCAGCGCCGGAACTTCTTCAGGTTCCTGTAGGACAGGGCCTCAGGGAGGGGACTTGTGGGCTCCAGAGGCCCTGGCAATGGTGACGGAGGCCCACGCCCAGCCTGTGCGATGCCTCATCACCCTACCCTCCATTTCTGGAAGCTTCTCCCAGCAGGGCTTCTGCTCCCCAGAGGTGGAGGAGTCCTGTCCTAGGATTGGCCACTCTATCCCCACACCCCATCCTGTGCCATATTTCACTGCACACCAGGCACTGGCAAGCAGCACAAGGGGCCCTGCTCTCACCTCTGCAGGAACACGGGCTTCAGCAGGAAGCCTTCCGTGGGCGAGCTGGACGCACCCTCCGTCCCCACGTACTGCTCCACGTATCGAGCCAGGTGCTGGGCACAGAACAAACACCCTATGACTGCCCGAGATAAAGTGGCCTGCCTCTTATTCTGGATCCCAAATCAGAAGCTCTTGAGTTTGTACCCCAACCCCAGAACATAAGGAGACCAGCCAAGGCTGAGGGGCTAATGTGCAGTGCACACAAAACCTTCGACCGACACCTCCAGCAAGGGTTCTCCTGGTGAAAGGAGAGTGCACCCTGACGATTCTTAGGTCTGGCCCAGCACGTAAGCAAGTCGACAGTAAGTCCAGGCAGCCATACAGTGTTCTCTGGGGGGAGGTACACCTTAGAACAGGGTTTGAGTAAAGAAGGTGGACAGTGTAGAGCATCAATGTGGCTCAGGGGTGCAGTTTCTGCCTAGAAGCCACTAGGGAGAAGATGGGGGCTAGTGACAAACCAACAACTCCCCTGTGAAGGACTGGGTAGGTGGCTCAAGGGTAGACCCTTGCTTAGAGTCTCCTAGAAGAGGGACCCTCATCTGAGGAATTGCCTCCATCAGATTAGCATGTAGTTATCTCTGATGGAGGGCCCATCCCACTGTGGGCACTGCCACCCTATGGCAGGTGGGCCTGAGTTTGTACCATCCAGTAATCGCCAGTCTGCTTGCCTAGAGCGACTGTGATGTGTGAAAATGTAAGCCAAAACCACTCCTCTCCCTAAGCTGCTTTTGGTTCTGCTGTTCATCACGGCAACAAAGAGCGAACAAACCTTAAGAAAGTCTTCAGACAAACTCCATGAAATGTTCTGTCACCACTTAGGAAGGGAAAAGGTGAGGGTTAAGTGGGCGCCACTTATCTTTGAATGTTGCCTGCACAGGGAGCGTAGGGGGAGGGGAACAGAGGCTTCGGGGAGGGAGGCTTTTGCTGCAGCAAGCAGCAGGTTATGCTGGTCTTCAAGAAGGGTGTACGCTGCTACCTTCATGCCTAGACGGTGCTCCCCTACTCCCTCACTCCTGCCTTCCTGGGCTTAGCCAATTCAGCCAAAGACAGGAAGGTGTGACCACCCGGCTCTTGCATTTCCTGCACCTCTTGTCTACAAGTCTGGCTCTCGGAAGAAGGGTGGTGAGGAGGGGTGTGTGCACATGCCGTGTGTGTGTGTGTGCGTGCGCGCGCACGCGTGCACTCGCAAGTCTGGTTCTGGACCTCCACAGTCTTGGGACCTGTGTGTGAACACATTTGCAAACAAGGTCCTTGTACATACAATCAAGGTGAGGCTATGTAGGGTGGTAGTTCTCATTTTTATATTCTATTTAGCAGCACTGGGGATGGAACTTAGGGCCTACCCCATGCCAGGCAAGGGTTTACCATCTAGCTACAGCCTAGCTGCTTTTTTGTTGTTTTGTTTTTAAGACAGGGTTTGTCTGTGTGGCCCTGGCTGTCCTGAAATTTACTCTGTAGACCAGGCTGGCCTTGAACTCAAGAGATCTACCTGCCTCTGCCCCTCTGAGTGCTGGGATTAAAGCCACGACTGCCCAGCTGCCCTAGGCAAAAAAGAAAAGAGAGAGAAAGAAAGAAGGAAAGAAAGAAATAGGGTGCTAGTAAAGTTGTTCCTATCCCCCAGGCTCTTGACAACTAGAATCCCAGGACTGTGCCACCACCTCTAACAGAAGTTAAGTAAGAGACAAGACAGACACAGAAAAATATTCAGAAGCCATGAGGTGCTTCCTAGCACCTCTGAGAGTAGGGACCCCAGGTTTCCAGGATGAGAAGGCGTGCTCTATTCCAGCAAAGTCCTGGTCTATGATCACTTGTCAGACCACAGGTGACTGTGCAGAGTAACAGGCACACAGGGATGCTAGAAGGTGCCATGAGGACAGAGAATGGACATGAAGGCCAAGGTCCTCAGCAGCTGCTCTGTGTGTGAGCAGAGCTGGGCCACTCTGATGTGTGGTTTGCACACAGGTAGGATGGAGGCTGAGGAGAGACACTGTAGACTCACCTGCACCTCCACAGGGTCCTCAGCCTGTGCCTCCTCCGTGTCCAGGAGCTCTATGGTCATGATCACCTGTCCTCTGCGCTGCAGGAACATAACCTGGGGAGATGGCCACAGTCTGAGCTGCCATCACTCACCTCCACCCAATTCCCAGGCCCTGGCAATGCCCTGCAAGATGGAGGAAACTGGCAAATGCTACAGCCACTCCTGGGCCTCAGGTGTGATGACAGTGCCCTAGCATCCTGCTCAGTGTCCAGCCATCCCCCAGTGGTCTTGGCCACCCTACAAGCTCTCACCTTGAAGCAGTTCTCGTCAGCCATGCAGCGCTCTGCCTTCCACTGGTAGCTGGTCTCCCGAGCAGCTCGGACACAGCGGGAGGACAGGTTCCCACCGGCTGCTCCTCGCTGCTGCTCATTCAAGTACAGCTCTACCACCTTCAGGCACACATCATCGCTCACCAGATGGTGCAGCTGGCAGAGGAGAGAGAGAGAGCAAGGCCACAGCTGCCACCCCTGACACTGACCACAAGCCCACACAAGAAACAAGTCTGTGACTTGGGAGTGAAGTGGTGGAGATGAAGAGTCGATTATGTGGTATAAGTAACAATCCTTTTTTTTTTGTTCCTTAATAGGCAGCCCAAGCCAGACCAGAAGAGACCAAACCAGACAAGACCAGCAAAACTGTGCCTAGGTGTAAGAAGTGTCCAAAAGAGACAAATGTGCCCATTGAGAGCACTGACCTCATGTAAAACTTCCTTCCAAAGTCTGGAGGCAGTCCTTTTACCCATTTAAAAAAAAAAAAAGATTTACCTAATTATTTAATGTATATAAGTACTCTATCTCTATGTATACCTACATGACAAAAGAGGGCATAAGATCACAATATAGATGGTTGTGAGCCACCATGTGGCTGCTTGGAATTGAATTCAGGTCCTCTGGAAGAGCAGCCAATGCTCATAAAAACTGAGACACCTCTCCACCCACTTTTACCAATTTTTGTGACGAACACAATGCAAAGGTGGCTGGGCATGCTGGGAGGCCTTTAGTGCTGCTGGGCAACCATACACCTCAGGAGTGACTGTACAGATCCTGCCCACCCATCATCTCTAAATGAGGACACATGGAACACTGATCTAGAAGAGCGAGACCCAGACAGAGCTCTGCCTTGAAGCAAACAAGGCGACCATAGTGCTAGCACAGTAGCACTTGGTGAGTGCCTGCCAGAGGCTACAGTAAGGTTCTGGAGCAGCCACAGATGGAGCCCAGTCTGTGTCAGGGTGTGTGTGTGTGTGTGTGTTTGTGTTCATTCATGGAGGCCAAAGAATAACAGTGGCTGTCCTGCTCTATCAGTCTCCATCTTATTTCCCTGAGATGGGGTCTCCCACTGGACCTGGAGTCATCCTTATGTCCAGCAAGTCCCAGGCATCCTCCTGTCTATGTCCTCTATACAGCAGGGTACAGGAGTATTTTGGACAGCTTTGTATCAATCTGACACAATCCAGAGTCATTTGAGAGGGAACCTCAGTTGAGAAAAATGCCTGCAAAAGCTCTGGCTACCGGCAAGCCAATAGAACATTTCCTTAGTTAGTGACTAATGGGGCAGGGCCCAGCCCATGGTGGGTGGTACCATCCCTGGGTGGTGCTCCTGAGTTCCATAAGAAAGTAGGCTGAGCAAGTCATGAGGAGCAAGCCAGTAAGCAGCACCCCTCCATGGCCTCTGCATCAGCTCCTCCTCCATACTCCTGGTCTATTGAGTTCCTGCCTTCACTACTTTGGATGATGAACTCTAAGCTAAAACAAACCTTTCTTTGCCTTGTCAGTTTGCTTTGGTCATGGTGTCTCATCACAGTAACAGTAACCCTGACTATGACAAAGAGCATGTTGCCATGACCAACTCCCTACAGGGTGCTAGGGATTTGAACTTGGGTCTTCATACTTGCACAAGGCCATCTCATCACAGTGAGCCATCTCCTTAGCCAGGAGAGGTTTAACCAAGGGCATGATGTGATCCAATTTGCCTTGTGCCAACTCTAAGGCTGCTGTCCCAGGGGCTGTGGCCCTCTCCAGTCCCCACTTGGCTGCCCTGACATTGTGTGTGCAGCCCCAGAAGCCGTGTTTCCCCGTCACCCACTACTGTGGGAAGAGACAGGAAGGCACACAGACTTACTCCTGAACACATAGGAAGTTGAACTGTTTAAAGAGAAGGGTTAGGGGGGCCATGACAGCTGCTGGCTGTGATGTGCACGGCAGGGTAGTCTGGATAACAATAGGTTCTCTGGCTCCCCGAGGAAGGACATTCAAACTGTCTCACTGTGGTCACAAAATATCAGACCATGAGCCACTGGGAGAAATGCATCATGGGCCTTAAGTGGGTCCAGCAACCAGAGTCAGGAACAGGGTGTGGCCCCACTCACTACTAGAAGGCACCACTGCCCCACAGCAGGTGAGAGCAGATGTGACTCAGCCACTCAGAGCATAGGCAGGTGGGTCCCTGAAGCATGTGATGGGATCCAGAGGTCAGAGCTAGCATGCAGCTTGAATCAGGGTTAGGAAGTTCCCACTGAGTGTCCCCTGGAAACCTGGGTACTTTCTTCTTCCACCACCCCCCAAGTTCTGTGGGGTTTTTTTTTTGTTTGTTTGTTTTGTTTTTTGTTTTTGTTTTTTAAGATGAGGTTTTTCTGTGTAACAGTCCTGCCTGTCCTGGACTCACTCTGCAGACCAGGCTGGCCTGGAACTCACAGAGATCCACCTGCCTTTGCCTTCCAAATGCTGGGATTAAAGGCGTGCACCACCATCACCCGGCCTCTTTTCTTTTTTAATTTATTTACCTTTTTATTTTATGTGCATTGGTGTTTTGCTTGCATATATGTCTATGTGAAAGTGTTAGATCTTGGAGTTACAGACAGTTGTGAACTGCCATATGGATGCTGAGATCAGAACCTGGGTCCTCTAGAAAAGCAGTCAGTGCCCTTAACTGGCTAAGCCATCTCTCTAACCCCCTGGGTACTTTCTGTATGAACACAAATCCTGGAGGGCCAAGACCTCAAGAAGTAGAGAGTGCTTGCCCAGTACACACAAGGCCCTGGTTTCTATTACCAACACCAACAAGGAAAAAAGTTCTTAGGGCTATAAAGATGCTTGCAGCCAAGCCTGATGAGCTGAGCTGAGCTCCATCCAGTCCCACACAGTGAAAAGAGAACAAGTCCTGCAAGTTGTCCTTGTGTCCATGCACGTGTAAGCAGATGAACAAACATATGGAATAAAAAGGTCTCTAGGGCTGAAGAGATGGCTCAGCATTTAAGAGCCAATATCTGCTCTTCCAGAGGTCCTGAGTTCAATTCCCAGCAACGACAAGGTGGCTCACAACCATCTATAATGAGATCTGATATCCTCTTCTGGCCTGCAGGAGTACTCACAGACAGAGCACTCATATACATAAATAAATAAATCTTAAAAAATAAAATAAAGAAAATCAAAAGAAGGCCTCTAGGCCCTGGAAGGAAACAGTTCTTTCTCTAAAGCATTTCCTGTGGCTGACTGGATGCAGACAACATAGAGGGCATAGCTCTGTGCTGGAACTCTCACTTTGCGTGTTGAAACAGCTGGGGTATAGGCATAGTGCTAAATGCTATGTACTATATAAGCACTCTGATGGGGTTAATTCTGTTATGTAAATTTCACCTCCTGGAAACAAAAGGGAAGATTGCTATGCTGATCCAGTGTTGAAAGGACAGTTTCCAAGGTGACAAGTAGTGAGGAGGGAAAAAAGATAAGGAGAGCTCCCCTGAGCCTGCCCTCCCCCTGGCTAACCTCACCTGGCGAGCAATGTTCTGCACCAGCTTGTCCATGGTGAAGCCAATGTAGGCATGGATGGTAAACATCTCTCGGAGAGTGTCTTCGTATTGTGTGGGGTCGATGCTTCCTTCCAGCAGGCTCCGCACCATGTCCAAGAAGGCCGGGTAGTACTCTTCCAGCTCCACCTCACCTGGGGGAAGGAAGGTGGCCACTTGACTCTCCTGCATCCACAATGCACCACCCCACACCATAACCAGCTGTCAGGACTCCCTGGGGACTCAGTAGGGAGGCCAGGGCCCTAGGTCTAACACCACCCTCCACCAATGGGGCCTGAGGGGACACTAGCTTGGTCTAAGCACTCACTGGGCTGCTTGAGGCGCAGCTCCATGGCTGGGTCTGAGGCCTTCTCACGGCGGCCCTCACACAACAGCTGCTCCCGTTCCTGCTCACGCCGATGTTCCAGGAGCTGCTTCTGTGCCTGCCGATAGATCTTGAGCAGGCGCGCACACAGTGTCTGGTGCAGGCGCAGGAAGAAGTACCAATTGTTGTTGGCGAAGAACAAGCTATAGACATCATCAAGGGCTTTGGGTGGCTCAGGTGGAGCATCCGAGTGGGGCTTTTCATCAGCCGGCTGCCGGCGCTCTGGCTCCACATTGTCGCGATCACGCTCGTCTGAGGAGTCGTCAGAAGCGCCAGGGCGCTGCTGTGAGAAGAACAGGCTGGGCAAAAAGCGGTGCAGCAGCTGGCGGATAGTGCCCTGGTCCTCCTTCTGGATGGCGGGCTGCCGCTTCACATAGTAGCTGATGAGTGCTGCCGCATCCTCCAGGATCTGCCGGTCCTCGTACACGAAGATGAGGTGCGGCTCACTGGATGGTGCACTTCGGCCCTCAGAGTGCTGCTCCTGGTGCTGCAAAGGGTGGCAGTCAGCAGGCAAGGCCCGCTCATCACCGAGCCCCTCCCCCAGCACAACAACCTCCTCAGAAAGGCAAGTGGAACACACACCCACACACAGGGGTATTGGAGAGGGAGGTCATTTATCCACCCTTCCTCTCATCTGACAGGGGAAAAAAGGTTTACAGCTCCCCTGGTATGGTCTAGCCTGAAGCTTGCCTATGGCTCTCTACTGGGCAAACCAAGGCCTTCTCACCGAAGATGTCACCACCAGAGGATTGCAATGAAATAAAAGGACCACTGTTCTGGGCTTCCCACTGACCTGGTCATGGAGTAAGGTCTCCCTTGGGTGAGGCTCAGAGTGGACCAGGAGCCTACAACCATCCAACACTCTTAAAACTCAGCTCCACTGCACAAGGCCCGGACTGTGCTCAGGTCCCCTTCCTCCATCCCGTGCAAACAGTTTATAACCTGCCTGGTTCCCCACTCAGCCAACAAGAGCACAGGCCCTACCCCAGGCTTTGAAAGCTGGCCTAAGGTAGTCCAGTGTCTTTGGGCCAGGCTCCCTTCTGCTGTGCACAGGGCCTTTGAGCATGCTGGCTACTCACTGTCCAGGTGTACCTCTTTCCCATACATTGCTCCTTAAGTGTTGATCTGAATAATGACCTTCCCAAACTCAAAGGTGACCACTACTTGTCTCTCCCGCACCCCAAGGTGCTGTCTCTGCACTCAGCCCCTCCCTGGGTGGCTCTACTCCATGCACTGTCTTTATACAGGGCTAAGTGTCTTATCAGCTCTCAGTGATTAATGCACAGTGAACAAACACCATCTCAGGCAAGACCCAGTTTGCCAGGAGGCTTCTCATCAGAGGTCACACTGCCTTACTGAAGGCCAGAAACTCAATCAGTACTATCTTGGGTTTCAGGCCACATGCCTATGTCTGAATGTGTATGTATGTATGTATGTATGTATGTATGTATGTATGTATGTATGTATGTATGTATGTATGTGTGTGTATATGCATGTGTGTATGTATGTGTGTATGTATGTATGTCAACTTGACACAGGTAAGTGTCATCTGGAAAGAGGAACCAAGGTACCTCCATGGAGTGACTGCCTGCACCAGACTGGCCCATGGGGTATGTTCTTAACTCCTGCCTAGAGTTCCTGCCCTGATGAAGAACCTGAAGGAGAAATAAACCCTTTCCTTCTTAAGCTGCCTTTGGTCATGGTGTTTCACAGCATGAAAGCAAATTAGGACAGTGTTAGAGTTTGGATATGTGTTCCCAAAGCACTTAGTCCTACTTGGTAGGGACAACCACTTTAGGTAACTGGACCATGAGGGCTCATGAAGGACCGAAGGGTAGCAGATGGGACCTGACTGTGGTGGTGAGTACTGGGGTTGTGCCTATGAAGGGTGTCATACCCATAACCCTCCTGAGACCAGTGGCTTCCTCTTTTATACCATGATGTTTCCACCTTGTTAAACGTCTAAACCAACAGAAGAGCCTCACAGCTACAGGCTGAGATTTCCAAACTCATGAGCCAACACCTTTTGAATGGTTTCTCTCACATGCTTATCACAGGACTGGAGACTGATTTATGAATATACAGACACCTCAAAAATCTTTTCTTTCCATGTGAAAGAAAATTCTTACCTCAATCTAGAACCCAGGCCTCAAATCAGACAAGTGCTTTAGCCCATGCTACCACATCTGCCCTCAAAGGTCCCACTACCTGGACCAGAGAGATGGTTCAGGGGTAGAGAGTGCAGAGGGCCTGAGCTGCGTTTCCAGGTGCTCCCAGCGCTAAGGGATAGCTCTGACCTCTCCCTCTGACCTGTGAGTGACTTACATACAAACAAGATCAGTCTGTACAGCAGAAAGAAAAGCCCAGAGCAAACTCCAGCAAGCAGGAATCATTCACACCTCAGTTTCCCCACTGGTAAGGCAGGGGTTGTATGGCTCTGTCGGCTGGGGTACCAGTTGGTGGTCCCTGCCCAGCTTGCCTCACCTCATCATAGACACTTTCGATCTCATTGAGCAGGCTCTTGGAGCGCAGTGCCTTGGTGTCATTCTGCTTGAAGTTCACGGCCTGGTGGTCCAGAGACTTGAGGTATGCTTTCTCATACTGCTCGCGCCAGATCTTGTTGAAGCCCTGCTGGGCCTCCCGCCACTCCTCTTCCTTGGCCTTCAGCCTGTGGAGAGAGGGGCTCAGTGCCTGATGCCCCAGCAAAGGGCTCACTTTCCTCCCAGCAAGCACACTGATCTGTATGGCACAGAGGCTGAGGCAGGAGGAGAATGTCCAGTTCTAGGCTGGTCTGGGTTACAATGAGAAACCCCCATCTCAAAAAAACAACAAAAAAAGAACCCGGCATGGTGGTGCAGGAATGTCACCCAGCAGTCTAGGTTAGAAGGTAAGTCCAAGACCAGTCTAGGCTACATAAGACTCTACCACCAAAACAACCAAGCAATCAACCAAAACAAAACAAACCTACACAAAGGGAGAGGGAGAAGGGGGCAGTGTTCCTACACAGCCAACGTGGTGACTTAAAAAGTTTTTATTTGGAGTTGGGGATTTAACTCAGTGGTAGAGAACATGCCTAGCAAGTGTAAGATCCTGGGTTCGGCCCTGGACTCTGGAAAAAAAAGTTTTTATTTATTATTTTTTGTGCATGTGTGTCTTCTCTGCATGAGTGTATGTATACCACATGCATGCCTTGTGCCTCTGCTTCAGGTGCTATGAGCCACCATATGGGTGCTGCACAGGGTCTGCTAGAAGACCAGCAGTGCTCCTAACTGCTGAGCCAGCTCTCCACAGTGACTTGTTTTAGGGTCTCCACCTTTTCCCAGACACCATGCCGGCATGCAGCTCAGTCACTAACTACTGAGCAGCACAGCTTAAACCTGTGGGCTAGCACAGGGCTCCAGGCGTGTTGGCAGACATTGAGTTAGGGAGGCTCCTATTTAACAGTCACGGTCCACCCTTCACACGCACGACTCTGCAGGCCTAAGTGGGAATGCTGAGGAGAAAACTACACCTGTACTGGACATACTAACCAGGTACTGCCACAGGTGCTCTACAGCATCCAGAGGTGATGGACAGGCGTGGACAAGGTGTGCGTGTGGACTTTAGGTAAGTACTGACTCAAACTCTAGAATGGTCTGCATGGCCCCAGAACGCCCTGCAAGCTGAGACTGCATATCCACACCTGGAGACGGATGTGTCCACAGTGAAGTGTCCAGGAGCCTGGCTGTCAACTCTGCTCAGGACTAGAGTGAGGAGAGGTCAGCTGGGGGACAGCACCTGCCTATAGCCTCAGGGTCCCCTGCAATGCCCCAGGTCAGATAGGGAAGTGGAAGGAGAGAACACCTTTTCAGAACGACAGGCACAGCAGTGACGGGGTTCCTCTTGAGGCTCTCGATGACCTCTGGGGCCTTGTCGCCGTAGATACGGTGGATGGCACGGCGCTGGATCACCTCTGATGTGCCACCCAGGCAGTCATCCAAACGGAGCTTCTCCTGGTCCTCGGGTGCCATCCTTGACAACTTCTTCTGCACACTCTCCAGCACTCGGATAGTGGCCAGGTTGGTCTCCAGGACAACATCCAACTGCAGGGAACAGACAGGTATGATCAGAACTGGAAACTCGGGCTCCAGGATGATCCCCAGTGAGGTCTGTGAAGCTGACCATGGCGGTACGGTGGGTTGTTAGGAGCTGTTGACAGAGCCAGTAAATGTAGGTGCCTACCACAGCACAGCTGTGTGGGAGGGGCAGAGCTCCAGTGATAGCAGTGGACATACCACGACTGGGGCACTTAGCACAAGTGGTACATGCTGGGTCATCATTTGTACTTCTGTACTTTATATTCACTTGTTGGTTTTCTTTTATTTTTTTCCCCTGTATAGCCCCGACTGACCTAGAACTGAGTCTGTAGACCAGACTGGCCTCGACCTCAGATCTGCCTGCCTCTGCCTCCTTGGTGCTGGAATTAAATGTGTACATCACTACTGCTTGGCTGGCTTTCTTAAGATTTATTCCATTTTTAATTTTGTGTCTACATGTAAGTCTATGTGTATGTATGTGCAAGTGAGCATAATACCCCTGGAGGCCAGAAAATGGTACTAGATTCCCTAGAGTTGGCATTTGGAGGTTTTAAGTTCCCCAAAGTAGGTCCTGGGAACTGAGCCAAGTTCTCTGCAAGAACAGCCAGAACTCTTAAGTGCTGAATCCTTTCCCCAGCCCCTTGTTTACTCATTCATCTTTCTGAGACAGGACTTTGTATCACAGTTCAGGCCAGCAGGGAACTTAAGCCTTCGCCTCCCATGTGCTTGGATGATGAGCATGAGCCACCACACACAGTACATCTATATATCCTGAAACAACAGAGCAATAGGGGGTGGAACAAATGGAGTTATAGGGTGAGGCACTATCAGGGCAAGTGTGGCTACTGATTATTACAACAGCAGAGAGAGAGATCAGGCAGCCTATGTGGCTCACCAGTAACAGAATCACACAGTACAACAAACACAAACACACAGGTGCACACTCTGCTACAGTATGATCACAAGGCCCTCCCAAACCCACACCAAAGTTTATCCGTTGGTGTAGCAGTATTAATGGGAGGCTGCACTGCTAAGCACAGGTCCATGACTCAAGCACACGGGAGGCAGAAGCAGGGCATCCATGTGTTCTCAAACAAAACATAGGACCCGAAGAGGTGCTCCAGCCACAGAGTGTCTTCATGGGTGGGTGGCATGCCCAGGAAGGAAGGGCTATAAGCCACACCAGCCTCCTTTGTGCTCCTTCCACCTGGGATACCATAGGCAGGCTTTGCCAAGAAGTATGGCACCTTTGAGTTACACTTCCCAGCGCCTGCTAGACTCCTATTCATGTAAACTGCCCTCTCCATGGGACTCTGTAACAGCAGAAGTTGGACACACACACACACACACACACACACACACACACAAACACACAAACACACGTGCGCGCACATGCACACGCACACGCATGCAAGTAAGGGTACCAGAAGTAGGAAGTGTACACTTGGAAGGCTGAGGCAGGAGAACAACAAGTTCCACACCAGCCTGGGTTACAAAGAGAGATGCTTGAAAAAGAAAACCAAGGGCTGAAGAGCTGGCTAGGTGGTTAAGAGCTCTGGCTGCCCTTCCAGAGGACTGGGGTTTAATTCCCAGCACCCACACGGTAGCTTGTAACTGTCCTTAACTCCAGTTCCAGGGAATCCAAAGCCCTTGTTTCCAGCCTCAATGGGCACCAGACACACATGCAGGCAAACACCCATACACATAAAATAAAAATTAATAAATCTTAATAAGAAAAGAAAAAAAAAAGACATGCAGATATTTGCTCACAAAAGGGGAGACGGGATGAGATGAAGATGGTTTATCTGTCTGTCCCCAGGAGGAACACTTGGTGGGGTCTGAAGAACTCAATTATAACCTCAATAAAAATAAAACTAACTAAGCCAGGCAATGGTGGCACACACCTTTAATCCCAGCACTTGGGAAGCAGAGGCAGGTAGATCTCAGAGTTCAAGGTCAGCCTGGTCTACAATATAGTTGAGTTTTAGGACTATCAGGGCTACACAGAGAAACCCTGTCTCGAAAAGCCAAATAAAAATAAAAATAAGGGTCTGGAGAGATGGCTCAGAGGTTAAGAGTACTGGCTGTTCTTCCAAGGTCCAGAGTTCAATTCCCAAAAACCACAGGGTGGCTTACAACCACCTATAATGAGATCTGGTGCCCTTTTCTGGCATGCAGGTATACATGCAAGCAGAACACTGTATGAAGAATAAACGTAACACTAATTTACTTTTAGGTTAACTAACCCACTGTCCTTAGCTGGAAGAAAGGGCGGCAGGGGTTGGGGGTGCTGTGCTGCTGGCTCAGAGCTAGCAGGGGAAAGAGACTGAAGGAACTGGGCTATAGTAGGAAGGCACTGGCTGGGAGGACAGAGGGTAGCAGCCAGGCAGCCAGGGGTGTACCTCAAATCTCTCGTCCTCACAGCGATGCAGCTGTTCCTCATAAGGCGTCTTCTTGGAGCTGACAAAGGTAGAGTCTTCAGACCAGGATGGGAAGGAGACCCACGTGTCATTCAGTACCTGGACAAGAGAAGCAGGTTTCACTAAGTCCTGAGGATGTGAGCAGCCACCCTAAGATCAAAGGCAGTTACATCCCACCACTCTGTGAACTAACTTAGCTGTTCCTAAGACGGGTCCATGGTGTGGTGTAGAGCACACGGCAGTGTCTCAGGGCCCAATGCACATCTGCACAGAGGGTCTGATACCCAGAGTATTGATACTCTGTCTCGAATAATCAACTTTACCTTTGTCCTGAGGAAGTAAGCACAGGTGGTTGTCCACAAATGAGCATGGCTGTGTGCTAACAAAGCCTTACTGACATGTGTAGGCAGTGGGCCACATTTGCTGTGCAGTACTTAGGCAGACTCTCAGGCTATAAATCTCTGGCCCTCAGTGGAACTCCTGAGTTCCCTCTTAAGAGACTGCCCACAAACCTGAAAAGGTGTCCAAGAGTCACAGTGAACACACAAATGGTGTTCTAGCTAGCTTGATCTCAATCTGATACAAGCTAGAGTTATTTGGGAAGAGGGAACTTCAATTAAGAAAATGACCCTCTAGATTGGCCTGTGGGTGGTTCTGTCCCTGGGCAGGTGGTCCTGGGTTCTAAAAGAAAGCAGGCTGAGCATAGCATGAGAAGCAAGCCAGAGAGTAAACAACACCTCTCCATGGCCTCTGCATCAGCTCTTGCCCTCAGGCTCCTGCCCTGACTTGCTTGGATGATGGACTATGAAATAAACCCTTTTCTCCCCATGGCCCTGGTGTTTCATCACAGCAAGAGAAACCCTCACTAAGATACTTGGGAACAGGGCAGAACCAGGCAGTGATAAAGTTGACCAAGTCCCCCCACCAGTGTGAGCTCTAAGCATGGCCAACCAAAAGGGCATGAAGCTCAAGGGGCCTCTGATGACACCCCTCAGGTATAAAATGTCATCCAGAAGTCTGGATCTGGCCCATGGATGCTACCTCTTTGCAGATGGCAGTCCTTCCACTGCACTTGGGCTGCTGGTAGGTCTTGGGAAGTGCCCGATAGCTGGATCCAATTCGCTTACAAGACGCATAGTCAATTTCTCTGCTTATGCCATCTCCAGAGCGGTCACTCAAAGGTGGAGCGAAGGAGAGCTCTTTCACTCCCAGGAAGGACTTGAACTGTGCAAAGAGTTCTGGAAATTTCCTTCAAAGACAGACAGAAACTGTAAGTAAACACTGGGCCTTTTAAGAATGATCTGGTCATGACAATGCCTCGTAAATATGGAAACTCAAAGATGGTCTGAATCAGAGTTCAGTGTTAGGAACGAGAGGAGGGTTCTCTCCCAGCACTAACCACGTTCCCTCAGGCAGACCTCACCAGCTGATTAAGCCACAGCCACAAAGCACACTTTGAATTATCTCTGTGGGTTCCACTGCATTCATTTTCTGTCTCTTAACATAAAAAAAAGGAAGAGGAGACTGGAGAGATGGCTCAGCAGCTAAGAGCACTGGATGCTCTTCTAAAGGACCTGGGTTCAATTCCCAGCATCCACATGGCAGCTCACAACTGTCTGTAGCTCCAGTTCCAGAGAATCCGATACCCTCACACAGACATACATGCAGGCAAAACACCAGTGAATATAAAATAAAAAATTAATTAAACAAACAAACAAAAAAGAAACAAGGCCAGGTGTAGTGGCACACACTAGGGAGACAGAGGCAGACTGATCTGAGTTCGTGGTCAGCCTGGTCTATACTGTGAGTTCCAGGATAGCCAGGGCCACATAGAGAGACTTTGTTTCAAAATAACAAACAAACACACAAACAAACCCTCAAGTGTCCCAACAGCCTTGTGACCAGCCTCTCAGCTGCTCACAGCTGTCCAAGCCACAGTCTGGATGTTCTAGGCTAGATGCAACCTCATTTAGGATATTCAAAACACAAATAAGACACCAGCCTTGATTCCAAGCTCTGACATCAGCCCTTTCTATTTGCTGGCTATACCTAGCCCTGGGCAGAGCACTCTTGCCCCTCGCTAGGCCACAGGCATCAGAATCCCCGAATCCTGTGCTGGAATGGTCCTCGATCCAGGCCAGGTACCCCATACATTGCAGCCAATCTGCCCACGAACTAGTTTCTGTAAATAAAGCTTGATTGGCACACAGTCTGGCCACACACTTGCTTGCTTCCGTCCATGGCTGCTCTATAGGGCAGAACAAAGAACAGCTGTGTCCACCAGGGCTGTCTTCCTGGGTGAAGTAGCCCTCCCTCACGAGGGGGTCCTCCTCACAAAGGACCCTGTGGATTCATTCTCAAAAGTCAGAATGAAAGTAAGATGTGGGGCTTGACAGATGGCTCAGTGGTTAAGAGCTCTATCTGTTCTTCCGGAAGTCCTAAGTTCAATTCCCAGCAACCACATGATGGCTCACAACTATCTATACCTCTACTGCCCTCTTCTGGCATGCAGATGTACAGAGAGAGAGAGAGAGAGAGGGAGAGAGAGGATGGATGGATGTTAATGGGACACTTTTATAGCAAATGACATGCAATGCCATCTCAATTCCTGTTAACTTGTGTTCTGTGTATTTATTTTACTGCTGCAGGGAAGGTACACGTGATGTGGAGATCAGCAGGGGAGCAACTTGGGGAATATACAGAACACACACGCAAAAACTTGAAAAACATGAAAAAGAAGATATCATTAAAGAGGAATGAGCAGATCAACACATCAGAGATACGGGCTACGCTGTTGTACTACAGGAGGGCTGCCAAGAAGCTGCCTTTGATGCCCCTGCAAGAGGATGAATTGTGTACCACCAGTCCCCAAATACATCTATAACTTGTCAAGGTCCAGGTCAAATGTCTACCCAATGGTTATAGCTCTCACACCGTCACAAAGTCAGTCATAGCCTGCGCGATCGGAAGTCAAGGACACCGTCCACACACAGTGTACAGGGTCACTGGGGAGCCAGGGCCTGTCAGTTCCTATGATCACCTAGCACTAGGGACCCTGCTTTCTTCACATCATTTTTTTCAGATGTGAGTCTACCAGAAGTAACTGGGCAATAATTTTAATAAAGAGAACCCACAGGTGGGTAAAAGTGTGTACTGCCAATCCTGACAACCTGAGTTAGGGAGAGGACCCACCTAAGAACCTGCCTTTGGCCTCCACCTAGGCACACACAGGAAATAAACCAGTGTTTAAGAGGAATGAATCACACAAATACACTTCATGGCTCATTCCCCCTAGGTCTGGGTGGGACAGGAGGAATGACAGGAGGAGGCCTGGGAGCCAGAAGCCACTCACCCTAAGAAAGGACTGACGAGCTGCAGCAGCTCAGAGCCAGACACCAGCTCCTGATTGAAGAGTGCGATGCAGCGCAGGAAGTTCTCGTACACCTCCTGGCTCTTCAGCACCCTGCGGACCTGTGGGAGGAAGGATAGCTGGGTGCTAGGAACACCTGCAAAAGGTGTGCACACTGGGCACTTTAGAAGCCACATAGGTATGTGCTGGGGGCGGGGGCAAAGGAGCATGTGTATGACCTGAAACCATCAGGGCTGGCAGTGGCCCCGCTTCTGGACTCCCTTATAGAAGGCCTCGCTCACCTTGTCAAAGAAGGAGAACTCCTGCAGCGTTCCGTACTTCCCCACAGCAGCGATGGACAGGTCTTTGGTGCCTCGGAGCTTCATCTTCTTCTGTAGAGAGAAACCCTCGGCTTAATGGTGGGTCCCCACCAAAGGACTGGGGTACACGGAACCCAAGGAAGCTTCAAATGCAGTCAGCAAGGCCCTGTCTCTAGTACTCTGGGTGATGTCTGGCCACGCAGCATCAGGGTACTGCTTCCTCCCTGGCCCTGTGTGATATGGGTACCCCAACTCAGGACCTGAGGAAAGGCAAAGCCCACAGCAGCACCCTGTCAGATCTGGGGATTGAACCTGGTGCTGAGCACACATTTAAGGCTGTGGAAATTAGATCTGGGCCAAGGGGATGTACTGTAACGGTCCAAGCTCCACAAGGGAAAGGGGAAGACATGGGGCCTCCACATGATGGACAGCTGCCAGGGAAACGAACCCAGGGCCTCATGTGTGCGTTAAGTACTGGGGAAATAGAACCCAGGCCTCACAGTGGTGGGCAGATGCTTAAAAGGGAAATGGAACCAAGCCTCGCTGAATGGCCTATAGAAATGGAACCTGAAGTCTTCATACAAGCTGGGAGCCACTGACTGGGAAAATGGAACCTAGGGCTTTGGGCAGCTTAGAAGACACTGGGAGAACCCAGACCATCACACACTCCAAGAATACTTGAGGAAATAGAACTTAGAGCCTTGCACATGCTTAATAGACATGGGCTGGGAAAATGGAAGCCAGGGCCTCACGCATGCTCAGAAGACATTAGTTTGGACTATCATAACCAGGCCCTCGTGCAGGGCTGATTGACACTGACTGGAGAAAGGGTGGGCAAGCATGGAGGAAACAACCTGGGAGCTGTGGGTGTGCTCAAGGAAACCCTGGGCCAGGAGCATGGTCAGTAGACATTAGTGATACATCCTGCTGTGACTCAGGTGCTAGGGATAAACTCGGGTACCAGAGAGAGCAATGTGCCTTTGAGCCACTCCATAGTCCTTACTCCAGCCTTGGGGACACAGAAACTGTGGCTTCTGCCTGTCCTGTGGGCCAGACAATGACTAGGAGGCAGGGAGGGGCAGCCCCAGGAGGTCTAAGGCTGTGTGCAAACAGTTGACTCTAAACTGGACTTACGGGCAGGGGCCATGACTCTGTAAGTAAACCTGCCTGTCAAACATGTCTGATGAACATGTTCCCATATATTCCCATATGAGCCCTGAGGTTCTCTGATCTCCAAGGTGTGTCACATTCATACACATACAAACAAACGAATAAACCAGGCTTAGACCTGCATTTGACTCAGGCTCATAGCATGAAGCACACTGCTGTATACCCAACTCTTTGGAGTTGGGTAGGATGAAAAAGATGAACATGGTAGGAGACCCAAGTGCAGCTTGAAAGGGTTCCACTTGCCAGTCCAGGGCAGTTTGGGTGTCAAGATACCAGTAATAGTAATGACTTGTGACTTGAGGTTGACACTGCTCCACATAACTAAATAAACAGAAATGCCAAAAAACTTTATTACTATAGAAAGTCAACTGGAAAACACACAGTGACAGAACTAGAAATCCACCATCACGGGGTGATGAGCGGGACAGGAACTGTTGCCAGCCACCTTCACTCCTCAGTTGTGCAGTAACCAAACCATACAACTGCACATTTCAATTGCAGCCCCACCTACGAAAGAGTCAGGACAGTGAAAAGGAGATCAACAGCAAGCCTCGCCCTTCCTTCCAACTCCCCCTTCCTCCTCACAAGCTCAGGTCAAGAGAGCAGGGGAAGAAATACTAGGTCAGCAGACATCTTTTCCTAGCAGACTAGGCTCTGGCCTCGGGCTCCCCTGTTGCTTGGCCCTCTACATCACTCCCATCATGTGCAGTTAGAACCACACATGGAGTTTTACCTTGGCTGGTGCAGACACAGGGCGCAAGAGTGAGGGCCGAGAGCGCTTCTTGCTGTGTTCCAGACTCTTCTCCTCACTCTTCTGCACACTGTTCATCTCACACGGCCCATTGCCTGTGAACTAAGGACATAAACAGGAGGTGGTCAGATGGAGAAAGGCAGATGGCCCACCTGTGTACATGCAGGAGCTTCTGGTTTGGCCTAGAGCCTTGTCAGGAATTGTGTGTCACATGGAAGGGTCTCTGCACTGAGAACATAGACTGAAGTTGGTCCTCTTTTCTAAGGCAGAGACTGAGTGCACAGGCCACAGGTGAATGTTGCACAGGGCTAGAGAAGGCTCCCTGTCACCTCTAAGGAGTCAAGAGTCTCGGCAGGAAGACAACTGAGTGTGCCTGGTAGGGTCAGTGTCTACAGAAGACACAAAGCATTCTACATAGGGGGTGGGCAACAGTATACAGCCCCAGCAGCAAGAGGAAGTAGCTCACATCATCCAGGTCACTGGTGGGGTCCTCTAAACCAGGTTTCAAGGGTTTTTTTTTTGCCATGAATGATAGACATGTCATGGGAGAGCCCTTGCTCTGTGCTGTATCACAAGGAAGGATGGCTGGAACAGGGTTTAACCAACAGGACAGAGATGCTGCTACTCTGGAGCTAAGGAGGTCAGAGACTCTCTAATACCCTGAATGAGTATCAGCATCCACTACTCCCATTTCACATGGGATCTAGATCCCACGTGAAGGAGGTGCTACTTGCCCAGACTGTGGGCAAAATGCAGTCATGGTGTACCGATGGCAGAAAATGCTTTGCAGACTGGCTCTGTGCTGCTGCCACGGCAGCCATGTGCAATGCACAAAGCAAAAAGAAAAAGGCAAAACCAAGAAAAAAACCACACCTGCAGAATCAGCAGGTAGCCATTTGTTAACATGTCACACAGGGAAAGTGCTAGACTGCACACAGAGCAACACTCTGAAGCACTGGGTTAAGGGATCATCTCTGGAGGAGAAACTACTCTGTAAGGGGAAGAAATTTTTACAACACTAAAAGCCTACCCTTCAGCCACAAGTAAGACAGATCCCCTAAACCCAACAGCCAGGCATGACAGCACATGGTTGTTATCTTAGCCCTCAGGAGCCTGAGGCAGGAGAAGTACCAATTTCAATCAGTGTAAGCTACACAGCAAGAGCCTGTCTTGAAAATAAATAGCTCAGTCAGTCCATCAAAACTGTCCCAGGAACCTCAAGTAGAAAAAGTGCTGTTCCCAGGGAGCTCTTCACTGGAACTATTTTTCAGATCCAAACTCCCAGTTCTCCCAGAGGCAGGTCAGGGCTGTGAGCACAACAGAGCGGCATGGGCCCTTGGGGTGAGCTGATGCTTAGCACACAGCCTAGCTTCAGGGACCCAGCACTGCTGTCCCTGACACTGCCCATACATTAGCTGTTTAATGGTTTTTGTTTTGTTTTGTCTAGACAGGCCCCAAATCAGGGCTAGGTTGGCCAACTACTCACACAAGGCCTACCACCAATGGCTACAGTCATTCATTCTATAAATGAGGTTTTAATGGTTTGCAGGCAGCCCATTGACTCTGTGAAGTTTTAATGATAGCCAAACCTATTCACGCTGTAAAAAGCCCACCGAATAAAGTTTTACTGACATACAGCCACACCCATTCACTTTGCAAAGTTTTCCTGGCCCACAGCCTACAGGCTGGGCTCATGTGCCTGACCTCATGTGTCAGATGATTTTCAAGTCACTAGAACAGGGCTGATTCTCCAATGCACGGGAACACTTGGATCCGGCTGGTATTCAACAGACAGGTTTAGTAAAGATGACGCCAATTTATTCCTGGCTTAAAATGAAGACTGCAAAGGTCTGTAACAGTATGATGTGCGTCCAACAGCTTATGAGATAACTAGTCCCTCTGCAGCTTGTCCCATGATGTATGAATAAACATTACGTATTTTCTAAATTAAAAAAAGAATATTTATTTATGTAGCCTCCATAGATGTCTGTGTACTGTGTGCATGAAGTGACAATGGAGGCCAGACAGGGTGTTGGATCCCCTGAGACTGGAGTTACAGAGGTCCTCTTGTGGGTGCTGTGAGTTGAACTTGGATCCTCTGGAAGAACAGTATCATGAGTTAATATTAAACCATTTCCAAAACAACTTTATTTAAACTAAGTAATTTAGCCAAGTAAAAAACTCCTAAGTGGCTTTATGAACGTCTGGAATTTCTATATTGTTACTGTAATTACTTTAAACAGTACAATCTTAAATGCACAGGGCAGCTTTCTCACACTGTGCTCGACAGCTGTTCACATACTCTGCCGTGTTAGGGGCTGGGGCACCGTGGAACTTCAGTCATGGCAGTGACTGAAGGGGAAATAATAGGGAAGAAAGCTGGCCTCTCCTGAGAGTTCTATGAATGCTGTGACTGCTGCTGGGTCAGGAAAGGTTTTTTGTTTGTTTGTTTGTTTTCCAAGACAGGGTTTCTCTGTGTAGCCCTGACTGTCCTGGAACTAGCTCTGTAGCAGGCTAGCCTCAAACTCACAGAGATGCACCTGCTACTGCCTCCCAAGCAGAAGCTGTTTATTTATTTGTGATTGTTACTATTGCCCTCTTGGCCTCTGGGTTCCCAGGCACTCTCCTTTCTTCTTTGCTCCCCCCCACTGGTCATGTTCAGTGGTCACATCATTTTTCTTTTCATTTCATTTGGTGACCACTCCCTAGGATCTGACAGATTTATTGTAGATATGAGGAAGAGCATAGCCAGGGACATCTGGAAGGGTCCAGGCTGACCTGGGCCATGAAGAGGGGAGGGCACAACCAGGAAAGATCCAGGAGTGGAGCCAAGCAGAAGCTAAGAGCCTGAATAGCTAAAATCACTAAGTTATGCAGGGATCAGGCTGGGGAAGTGAAGTTGTCTGGGAGTCGGAGGGTTAAAGACCCGGGGCAGGTGAGAAGTGCAGGGAAGAACCAGGACTCTGCAACAGGTCCTACTGGCCAGGCTGAGAGAGTCTGGTGGCCACCATCAGCTTTGATATGTTAAACAGACACCTTAGTTAGCCATCTGTCCCAGGTTTCTTTGACTTTTAGCAAAGTTCCTCAGCTCACTGTCTGTCACTTATTATTTTGAGACAGTGTCTATGTTGCCCTGGGAACTCATGTCTATGACCTGGAACTGATAGATAACCACCTGCCTCTCCCTCCAGAGTATAGGGATTAAAGGTCTGGGCCATCACTGTGGTCCAACAGATAAGCCTTCTGGTTTTCCTGTGGGTTAGGACTGAAACAGGGTCTCAGGCCAGTAGCTAACTTAACTGAGTACCTACTGAGGCCCAGCCCAGAGTCAGAGCTATATGTTCAGGGCATCAGGCCCACCACTGAAGAAAGCAAGGGAGGCCTTGTACCCCAGAACTCCCCTGAGCTTCAAGGTCCAGGCCACCGCCACTGCCCCCCTCACATCATTCCACCCCATTAGGGTAGTTCAGGGAGGGCAGTGGAGGATGGCATAGGCTCCCAATTCCAAGGGCTGTTGGGATAGAGCCGTACCTCTCAGATGAGCACACAGACCTGAGGACCCAAATACCAGCCCCAGCTTGAGAAGCAGCTGATGGGAAACTCATCCTAATCTATGGCTATGCCATCGGGACCCTGAGGTACCACCCTTATCATACATACTTTTATGGTAGGAATAAGGTACCATGGTACCCAGATGAAGCAACCCCCAAAGACTCATGTGCTCATGGCTTTGTGTCTGACTAGGTGTGCTGTTCTGGAGGCGGGGCCTGACTGGAGGGAAGGTGAGGGTTCCAGCTCACTGTCTGGTGTGTGTGGTGGGAGATGAGCAGCCTCTGCATCAGCCCCCACTGCCCTGAGGGTCTTCTCAGAGCAAGCTCAGAGTCCAGGGAGCCAAGGACAGCAGCAGAGACCTAGGAAAACATGAGCCACAATGAAACCTTCTTCCCTTATGCAGTGTGTCACACGGCATTAAAACATACAAGACAAAGAAGCCACTGAGATGACAGGCATGAATTCAAAGGGGAGCCCCTGTAGGTCTGTGAAGCTCTGGGTACATGGAGTGAGACAGTGTCACCTGTGGGAACAATCAGGGACTGAGCTTCTGCAGCTTGTTCCAGCAGTTTAGACAACACTCATCACCTGAAGTGAGCCAGCAGCTTGTGGTCTCACTTGAGTAGACAGATGGTCATAGTTCTGAGGAGGAAGGAAGGCCCAAGGGCAATGTACAGCCTAGCTCTGCCTGAAGGTGGAAGGCACAGCAGGCCACGTGGCTCCCAGGGCTTTGCCATCATCTGGGTCTGGAGGGCACCTAGAAACCAGGTAGGTATGCTGGATGATACATGCTTCTCTGATGTAGTTAGTTATTTTCAGGTTTCATCCCACCTAGGGTTGACATGGTTCAAGACATGGTGACAAACCCGAGGCAACTGGCCACTGGCCTGTCTAAGAAGCCTGAGGAAACAATGGTAACGTGCCAGGATGCAAACACCTGACTAGACCAAAAACCAGGCCCAGGTCCCATTTGGTAAAGTGCCTGGACCCAAGTGTGGTCCTGAGAGACGGAGGGTGAAAGGGGAAAGTTGTCCTCTGACTTCCATATCAACTGTGACTGGTACACACATGGCACACACACAGCAAATGCATGCACAGAAATATGTAATAGTAATTTTAAAAAAAGAATGACCCAGAGTAGTGGCCCACAACAGTGATTCCAGCATGCAGGGAGCCCTAGGTAGGAGGATCACATGTTAAGAGGCAAGCCTGAGCTACCATGAGACCCAATCTCACAGAGAAAACAAGAAAGATGATCATCAATCATCAGGGGTCTGAGAAAAAACAGGAGGTGAAGGATACTGGCTTCCTGTTTTTGAACTCACTGCAAAAAAGCTGCAGTGCCACTGTTAGGCCAAAGATGGCAACACAGTCACAAGCACCTGCACTCACAGCGGTAATGTCAACATGGCACCAAGCATGGCAGCACATCCTGCCACAGATGTGCTGGACAAGTGGATCTGAAGCTGGACTTGACTCACTCCCCATATATAAAATGCAGCTTAAGAGCTAAAACTAAAGTTTAAGGCTAAGAGTGATATGAGAAAAGAAATGATCAAAATCAAAAGATCTTGTACATCAAAAACGTGAACAAAGCAGGGAAAAGATGACAGATGGGGGTGAGAATCTACAGTTCACACATGTAAGACGCTGTGGGCTCAGCTGCAGCTGGAGAGACAGGTGGCTCAGTGGTATGAGCATCAGCTGCCCTTGCAGAGGATCCGGGTTCAGGTTCCAGGACCCATGTGACAGCTCACAAGTACCTGTAACTCCAGCTCCAGGGGACCTGACGCCCTCTTCCGGTCTCCATAGGCACCTGCATGCATATGGTGCACAAAATATCATACAGACAAAATACATACACAAAAACAGTAATAAACAACATATCTTAAAGCCAGTACACACAGGGCTAGAGAGATGGCTCAGTGGTTAAGAGCACTGGCTGCTCTTCAGAGGTTCTGAGTTCAATTCCCAGCAACCACATGGTGGCCCACAACCATCTATAATGAGATCTGGCGCCCTCTTTTGGTGTGCAGGTGAACATAAAGATAAAGCACTCATACACATAAAAATATAAAAAAATTTTTTTTAAAAAGCCAGTACACAAACATGATATTCAATTGAATCAATTGCACTGGGGAATCGTAGTACAAGCTGAGATGCATTTCACTCTCAGAGCTGTAAAACAACTCAACACAAAACAGAAAGGAATTAGTGTGGGCAGGACACAGGGAGATGGAACCACTGCTGCAGAAAACAGACTACACTACGATCTGTAGGAAGCTAAATGAAGCTGCCGTGTGATCCAGGAAGCTCATGGACCCTCAGACCCACAGCTGCCACCAGGCATCAAAGTCATCACTTCTACAAGTCTGTTCACTCTGAACATCTTCACAGCAAACCACCCCATGTCTACAACATGAGTGGATGAGATGGGAAAACTCACATTTGGGAACATTATCACTCAGCCAACAGGAGGGAACACTAGCAAAGACTAAATATAGACACATCTCAAAAAAACATACAGTCACAGACCCCAAGTGACAAATGTCCAGAGCAGGCAAATCCAGGCAGGAAGCATATCAGAGACTGGGGGATGGACAGGGTGGGCGCTGATGGGGACAGAGTCTCATTTTGGAGGCATGTAGCCTATAACTTAGATGAAGGTTTTGATTGGACTACATGTTAAGTAGACTGCACAGCACTGAATTCTATCCTTTGTAGTCCTGAGTAGTCTGGAACTGGCTATGCCAACGAGGTTGGCCTCAAACTCAGAGATTGCTTGGCTCTGCCTCTGAGTGCTGGGACTAAAGCTGTGTGTCACCACCGCTACCTGACTCCCAACCCCTGACCCAGAATCGCTTAAAGTGGTGAATTTTATGGGTCATCCATTTCATCTTTACTTTTCAAAAAAGACTAATATGTGTGGAAAAAAAAACAAAAGGCACAGAAACGGCACCTCTGGCAGGCCTCAGGCCACAGCATGTGGTTGGATGGGGAGAAAGCCAAGTGCAGCCTGTTCCTGGGCACAGCCCTCCTTCCCCTACTCCTGAAAGCCTGTCTCCATGTGAAGACAATTCCTCCCACAGTACCGCAGGCACAGTGTGTATGACACGCCTGGCAGACTCTAGCTCCTCACACATATCTTGAGGACAAGATCCTGGACACTTGGCACTCACCAGAGACCTCTTTGCTTCAGGAAGAAACTGTCCAAACTCTGATAGCAGGTCCTCTTGACCACGGAAGAGATTGGCCACCTCTGTGAAGACCTCCTCCTCAGACATGCCACGGAACGGGCGACCTTTAGTGTGCAGTTGTTCCTTCTGCAGGTGGGAAAAGAAAGGAGGGTGAGACAGGTCCCAGTGCAGGAATGTGCAGCTGTGCCAACATCAGCCTTGTACCTACACTATAAGTATATTCTGCTCTCAGTGGCCTGAGCCCTGTCATACAGAAAGGGGAGGGCACAATGGGTCTCAGAGCAATGGAAGAACAGGGCACCAGATAAGAGAAAAATCCTGTGACCTTGCAAAGAGGGAGCCATGCTTGCTAGATCAGGAGATGAGTGAGGAACAAAGAAAGGCTTCTTGTGTGCATTGGCCTGAGGTGAGGGAGGACTGAGGTGTGGGAGGAGGTGGTAGATGTTGAGGCTAGAGAATCGGGACAGGGATACAGAATCCAGGTGGCTTTTAGGAACTACATGATAGCACATACTTGACATCCCAGCATTTCCGAAGGCTGAGGCAGGAGGACTGCCAGTACCAGGCTAGGCTGTGTTACAGTATGAGACATGTTCTTAAAAAAGAAAAAGGACTTTGGTAGAAATATGCCACCTAACTCAATGTCATAGTCAAGAGAACAGCACTAGGTCCAGACTGCAGTGGCCATACGGCCACAACCTGACAGCAGCCACTGTAGCATTGCCCTTTCCCAGGGAAAGTCTTGGCACTGGTAGACTTGACTAAGGGAAGGGAAAGAGGAACTCTAATCCTAACCCTGATGTTCTGGAATGACAGCCAGAACCCTCAGTTGAGAATCCAAGCCTATAATAACACAACAGCCCCAACAGACATGTATGGTTTTAAGAATCTCAAGGTGGCTCAGGAGGGAGTTGGGGCTCACTGTGTAGTCCAGGATGCCCTTGACTTACAGCATTCCCCCTAGCTCAGCATTTTGAAGCCACCACATCTGCCTTCAAAGCACTATTTTTAAATACACACATACACACACACACACACACACACACACACACACACACACACAAAACTTAGGGGCAGGCAAGATAGCTCAGCAGGCAGGTGTAGTGTCCCTTACAGAACATGTAAACTGTAAAAAGTGATGTGCAAGCATAGTGTTCTTGCCACCTCTTCATTCCCAGAGACACAGACAAGGATAAGACTAACTCGGAGGAGGAAGCCTGCATGGATCCTGCTGCAGGAACTAGTGAAATACACACCCTGGCCAAGGCCTGCACTCTGGGCTTGGCCTCTGCAGACACCACCAAACTTCCTTAAACCAGCACAGCAGCCTCAGTAGCCTCAACACTGCTCAGTAGCAAGTTGCACCTACCTGGCTGGTGTGCCCCCAAGAACACAAAACTATACCAGCACCCTACATCTGTGCTCTCTCTGGAGGTGCTGCTGTGCTGGGAGACACACTGTCACTACCTGAGGTTTTCACATGCACATAAGTCAAGCCGCTCCCTGGCACACACTAATGGAGTTGTGCTTCAAAGACAGACCATCAATGGGGCTCTCCAAGTTTATGGGGTACCTAGGCTGCACTATGATGGTGAACTTGTATGCCAAAAAACTTTATTTTTGCAACTTTATGTGTGGTGTAATGCTGGAGTCATAACCTATCATTTTAAGTGTTAGTTTTTGAGCTGGCTAAGAAAGTTTCCTGTGTGAGAATCAGAGCTATGTACTTTGACCCTGGACCCTCCACAGGCTGTCCGTAGCCTTTTTTTCCTCCCTGCTACTGGACCAAGGGTTGGCCTACACACCTCTCAACATGCACCCTTTTTCCACCTCAACCTGCTTCTGACTCTCCTAGAACCAGACGGAACACTGCAGCTATGCCCTGGCTGAGAAAAGCTAGCAATAGTGTCTAGCTGGGCTGTGGCTTGCAGCAAGTGCCTGGCCAGCTTGAGGCCCTGAGCTCCACTCTCAGGTCCTCAACATCAAACAATGCCTAGGTTGGGAAGGGCCCAGGTGCTGTGCTGTGCTAGGCCTCACCTGGTAGGTGTGTAGGATCTCTAGGAAGGACCTGTAGATCTCAGGGTGGTCCAGAAAGCGGGTCTTGATCTTGTTCACATAGCTGATAGCATTGTTGAACTCCACAGAGTCCGACTCCATGGGCACTCGGCCTCTGTCCTCCTTGTAGGACATCTGCTTCAAGTCTTCACCACAGTCACCATGGCTGTGAGAGTTCTCCTGAGAAACATAGGCAGTGAGAGGCATGGGGTGGCCAGGGGGCCATGTGCTATTCCTGTGGACCCATGAGAGACAAGCACTTCCTCCCTCTGGAGGAAACATCCCACACTTCTCCACTGGAGCAGTCACCACAGCTGATCTCAAGGTTCTAGTCAGATGGCATGCTCACCATGATCTTCCAGAACCATCTTTTAGTGACTCTAAACAACTTTCCTGTTTCCCCAGCAGCTCCCTCCTCTGGGCAGCAGGCACACACATGACACCTGAATGGTTTCTTGAACAACAGGTAATTTTCCTTAAGAGGCAGGAGGCAGAAGGTGTATAGTGAGTGAGGTGCCAGCAGCTCAGGTTCCTGAGGGAAGGCTAGCACTATGTCCTCAACACTTTTTTTTTTTTTTTGGTTTTTTGAGACAGGGTTTGTCTGTGTAGCCCTGGCTGTTCTGGACTCACTTTTTAGACCAGGCTGGTCTCGAACTCACAGAGATCCACCTGCCTCTGCCTCCTGAGTGCTGGGATTACTGGCATGAGCCATCTCACCCATTTTTCTTCAATACTTCTGAAAAGAACACCAGGAGCAGAGGGCATGATGGCACACATCGCTCATCCCAGCACTTGGGAGGCAGAGGCAGGAGGATATCTGAGCTCGAGGCCAGCCTAGTCTACAGAACAAGTTCCAGGACAGCCAGAGCTATACAGAGAAACCCTGTCTCACAAACAAACAAAAGAAAACAAAAAAAACCCCACCCACCCACAACTACACCCACACATAAAAAAGAATGTTAGTCAAATTAGGGCCCTCCCAGATGGTCTCATCAGGTCTATGTTTATTCACTCAAGGCCCCATCGCCAAACAGCAATGCATTAGTATCCAAGGTGGGAACAGATTCCAGGACCTCTTCTACAAACTGTAAATTTGGAACAGCATTATACAGATGTGCACAGCCTCTCACAAGCATACACCACCACCAAGCATTTTATACAAGGTACATTGTCAATAGTTCCACCTTGTGACTAGGGAATGACAATTACATACAATACAAGCATAGGCACAGACACAGATCACACCCCCCCAGCCTGGTGTCCTAAGTCAGTCTGTATGCTCAGTAGATGTGTATGCTTCCTGAAATGTTCCATCTGTGGCAAATCTGCAGGTACAGAATTCAAGGATCAGAGGCCAACTCGTAGTGTTCTCAGGTATCAGGGCAGAACCTCAAGAGATAACCACAGTGACAGTGGACACACACAGTGCCAGAAGCCAAAGCTGAGGACACACTGATCACAAATGCAGGCTAAGACTCAGGAACCTGCCTGCCTGTGCTCAAGGTCACAGGGGTCTGGGTTTGCCCTTGGCAAGACTGGGGCCTTCTCAGCCACTCAGACATGCACCAGCACCATATGACCGCTCGGGTCCCCTGAATATACGAGTATGGCACAACAGAGAGGCAGCTCTCTGGACAGGGACTCTGCAGAAGGTACTAGATGGTGGTAAGAACAGTTACTATGGAAACAGCCTTCAGCGCCTCAATAATCCAACAGAGAATTTCCCTGCAGTCCAACAATCACAATCCTATAAGCAGATCCAAAATGGAAAGGACTCATACACCAACACCAACACTCAATGAGGTGCCATTCCCAACTGCCAACCAGAGGCGGAAACAACTCAAACACCCACCAGACAAATGGACAAAACATGGTCCATCCCGTGGACCATTACTCAGCCAAGAAAAGAAACGATGACAGATACTATGTGAGTGAATGATGAAATGCCCAGAATAGGTAATATAGAGAGACAAGAAGCAAAGGAGTGGTTGGCAGGTCTGTTCCTGAGGCAAGGGAATGTTCTGGAATAAGTGGTGATGCTTTATACAGCTATAATACAATTTTTTACAGTGATCTTTGGAAACTATAAAAACCAACAGTAGGCAGCAGAACTTTCTAGACTGGCCCCATCCTCTTTCCCTGCCTGCCCTTAGTACCCCCTTCCTCCTGGGGTAACTGTTTACATAGCTGATCCCCACATTGAGCCCCACATCGATCCAAGGACCACACGGTCCTCTGGATATTCAAGAGCCTAAATGAACAAACGGCCAGGCCCAGCTGTCAGGGCCTTGCGGCTTCTGCCTAGGAACCAAAGGGCCAGCCTGGGTCATACACACACCTTACCTCACTGATACCCTCCTGGATCCTGTCCTAAGACATGGGTCCTCCCCAGCCTCTGAGAAGTCTCTGGATTGGCTAATTCCTGGCCCAACAGCAAAAGACTTCCTGGCCATGCCATGTCCTGCAAGCTTGCCTCTCAGCTCCTCTCCAGCCCTATTCCACTTTACAGAGAATGTTCCTAATGGCCCCATCCCTCCAAGGCCCTTCCTCCTCCCTATTCAGCCCAGCGCCACAAAGAACCTGCTATCAGCTGGTCTCTCATTGGGAGTCTTATGCCCAAACCCTAAATTAAACTGAGAGCCCAGCTCCAAGGAAGTGGTAGTTTGGAACTCTTCAAACCAAGACACCACCTGTTCTTGACAGGAACTGATCTAGCCTCCCCAAAGTGGGTAGCCAAAACCTCCTGTCAGTCAGCAAAACCTAGACCTACTCTAACAGTCCTCAGGAGCTACATGTCCCATACTCCCTTGCCCACTGATAGTTGCTTCCTTCACTAACATAGCTCAGGGACACAGAGGACCTGGAAAGGCACAGGTAAAGGCCTCCTCTGTAGAGTTCAGTTGGAGAACAGCAACACAAAAACATACACTGTGAACGCCAGCAGGGGCTGAGGCAACAGCTCTGAAGATGCTTACTTAGGGAGAAGCAACAGCAGATGAAGGCATAGAGATAACCTAGAACCCCTGCATATATGTAGCCCATGGCACCTCAGTGTCCAAGTGGGTTCCCTAGTAAGGGGAACATGGGCTGTCTCTGACATGAACTGAGTGGCTGGATCTTTGACTCCCTGATGGGGGAGCAGCCTTACCAGCCCACAGAGGAAGACAATGTAGCCAGTCCTGATGAGACCTGATAGGCTAGGGACAGATGGAAGGGGAGGAGGACCGTCCCTATCAGTGGACTTGGGGAGGGGCAGGGGAAGAGAAGAGGGAGGGATAGTAGGATTGGGAGGGAATGAGGGAGGGGGCTACAGCTGGGATACAAAGTGAATAAATTATAAGTAATAAAAAATAAATTAATTTAAAAAACAATACACAGAAAAAAAAAAGAAAAGAAAAGAAGGGACAGTACCCATCTGTGGCTGTCACTCCAAACTATTACAATGGAAGAGCTGGGGGAAAGGGAGAGGGGAAATGTGGGGGAAGAGATTTCGATCCCAAGCTGCATTTCAAAACAATGAAGCTAGGGTGCTGAGATAGTAGGTACCGATCATCCCAGCACTCTGGAAGCTGAAGCAGGAGAATATCAAGTTCCAGGGCCAGCCTGGGCTACAGAGACTATGTCTCAAATAAGGAAAACAGCAAAGATAGAAAAACAACTCAAAGAATGAAAATCTGCAAGGCACTGACATGTGGAGACCTGTACACACTCCTGCTGCGATGCTATCTCTAAGGCTTTAGGAATTCTGGAGGACGTCTCCCATGAACCCTGAGTTAGAAAGCAGGAAACATCTGGGTCAGGATCAGGGCTGGGCACTATCAGACCATCACTGTCATCAAGACTCAGGGGCTCCAGAGTACCCTGAGGGAATGTGACTCAAGACTGCCAAAAGTGCCTTGTTTATAGGCCTGAGATGGTCTTTGTCATCCTTTCTGTAAGTCACTGAGGCCCTTCATCACCTAAGCCACCTATGAGGGGAAACAAAACTGCTCCTGGCTTTACTATCTGCCCAAAGCCCTGTGTGATTGGGTGGTAGGGGGCAGCCCATCCCATGACTCAGGCTCTACTTCCTATTGCTTCCTAGTGAGCGACAATCATGCTCACAGTATGCACACTTGAGGAACTGTTCTTTGCTCTCTACAAAGTTCATGCTGCTTTGCATCGCAGCCACATGAGTTTCAGAAGTCGCTTGGCTAAAGCTTTGGTGCCATGGATCCTGGGTTCAGGTACAGGTGGGAAGTGGAAACTCTTAAGAACTCAGTAGCACATGCTTCCCTCTGAAACCTGGGCAAAGCTTCCGGGCTTCAAGAGGCATGCTGATGAGGGGAACCAGCAGAACTTCCACAGGAATCTCTTAGAGGGAACTTCGGGGCCACACCACCTTTCCAGAGTCCCTCTCCAACTTCACTGAGAAGCCTGTTGTGGTGGCTCACATGTCACCCTAACACTTGGAGGGCTGAGACAGGAAGATAAGTTTCAGAACTATCTGTGCTGATGTCAGAGTGGCAGAGTGGAGCAGTGCCCAAGCCTTAGCTGAGAAAGGAACCTGTGGCAATTCCACAAGTGACAGAAAAGTTATTCCTATGCACACAGCCCAAGCACCTGGGTTACTGGTGGCCTGCGATCAATGAAAGCCACCAGAGGTCACTGAATACTTGGCCTGTTAGACTTGTTGGGAAAGCCCTGAGGCCAGACCTCAGCAGCTAGTGATTCGATGACTCTGAACATAAAATTCTCCTGGACCCTGGTATCACCGCCCTGTGCACCCAACCTCAAGGGCTGGGGACTAAACCCAGGGCTTTGCCTACGCTAAGTGTACTATGTATGCCACACTGAACCATACCCCAGCCACTGTACTCAGGACCTCTAAACTGCTCACTTTGGGATGCAGACACTGCCTCTGTGTTCCTATCTTGACTGGAGAACCTTAAAAAACAAAACAAAACAAACAAACAAACAAACAAAAAAACCCAGACTGCACAAGACTTCCAGCAACATCACCAAACACCTGGCTGTGCTCCTTGTGGGCTTGACTCTGGAGGGCCACATCACTCAAGCGAAGCCTACCTGGCTGCTCAGAGGCGACTGCATGTTCAACTTGCCGCTCTTGGGAATGTCTATGCGGTATCCAAGTGGGAGGAACGCATTAAACCCCACAATGAGGTCAGGGTGCTCATGAAAAAGCTGAGATACACGTCTGATCACGCCAGGGGTGTCGATGCTGGGGGGGAAAAAATGTAAGTGGGCAAGAGTACTGGGAGCAAGGTTGAAAAACCCACTCACCCAAATGTCCGTAAAGTTTTCACAGCTCAGGCTTAAATGATGGTGTAGATTCCTAAAATGGGCCCACCATGTGAGACCACCTGTGGCTAGGTTTGGCAAGAACTATAAAGTATTTACAGCTCTCCAAGCCATCTGAGCTCCTGGGGTGTATGAGGCTGACAATCAACAGGAGGCCACACTTCTCCCAGCAATGTATTCCCTCTTATTTTATGAATTAGGGAAGGATGAGGCTACGTTTTCTTTCTTTCTTTCTTTCTTTCTTTCTTTCTTTCTTTCTTTCTTTCTTTCTTTCTTTCTTTCTT